TGTGTGTGTGTGTGTGTGTATATATACACGGTCACACTTTTGACCCATACAATGTATTTTTGGCTATTGCTGCAAATATACCTGTGCTACTTAAGACTGGTTTTGTGGTCCAGGGTCACATATGATAATGCTCAACAGCCACCAGGTTTAAACGCTTGATTTCTCTGTGCATAGCACACAGTCCACACCCATTGATTCAGGGATTGTGGGGAAATGTGAATCATTGTGAGTCAACACTGACTTCTTGTTCGTGGATATTAATATCTACACGATTAAAAGTGTTTGCATCTAAAGTTTCTAATTGCCTTAATTAGAGTTCTGTAAATTAATTAATTTGATGGAAATACTATTATGTGGGCTCACATAATAATCAGAAAGATCGGAATTGTTTTGCAAAACAATTTTGGAGGTGTAATGTTGGCGTACAATATGTATATTAATATAACAGCACATAACAGCATATACTGTATATATATATATATATATATATACACAGTCAAACCAAAATGTATTCAGACACCTTCAACATTTCACACATTATCACAGTTTATTGGCTATAGTTTAGAAAATGGTAATAAAATATGTCAAGACCTCAGAGTTAAATTGTGTCAAAACTAATTCATCTTGATAACGTCAGATAACACTTAAGCAAAACATGGTCAGGTCAAAGTGTCTGAATAATTTTTGGTCCCAAATTTTTATAAATTTCTCCATCACATAAACATGTATCTCTATTGGCCAGAATTGTAAAATTGCAACATTACTAAAGTATATTTTCCTATAAGTACAGTGGGATGCTTTGGGGCTGTTTTTCTGCAAAGGGACCAGGACGACTGATCCGTGTAAACGAAAGAATGAATGGGGCCATGTATTGTGAGATTTTGAGTGAAAACCTCCTTCCATCAGCAGGGGCATTGAAGATGAAATGTGGCTGGGTCTTTCAGCATGACAATGATCCCAAACACACTGCCCGGGCAACGAAGGAGTGGCTTCGTAAGAAGCATTTCAAGGTCCTGGAGTGGCCTAGCCAGTCTCCAGATCTCAACCCCATAGAAAATCTTTGGAGGGAGTTGAAAATCTGTGTTGCCCAGCGACAGCCCCAAAACATTACTGCTCTTGAGGAATGGGCCAAAATACCAGCAACTGTGTGTGAAAACCTTGTGAAGACTTACAGAAAATGTTTGACCTCTGTCATTGCCAACAAAGTGTATATAACAAAGTATTGAGATGAAATTTTGTTATTGACCAAATACTTATTTTCCACCTTAATTTGCAAATAAATTCTTTAAAAATCCTACAATGTGATTTTCTGGATTTTTTTTTTCTCATTTTGTCTCTCATAGTTGAGGTATACCTATGATGAAAATTACAGGCCTCTCTCATCTTTTTAAGTGGGAGAACTTGCACAATTGGTGGCTGACTAAATACTTTTTTCCCCACTGTATAGGGACCACAAAACCAGTCATAAGGGTCAATTTTTTAAAATTGAGATTTATACATCATCTGAAAGCTTTCCATTGATGCAGGCCTATGGTTTTGTTAGGACAATATTTGGCCGAGATACAACTATTTGAAAATCTGGAATCTGGGTGCAAAAATCTAAATATTGAGGAAAATCGACTTTAAAGTTGTCCAAATGAAGTTCTTAGCAATGCATATTACTAATCAAAAATTAAGTTTTAATATATTTACAGTAGGAAATTTACAAAATATCTTAATAGAACATGATCTTTACTCAATATCCTAATGATTTTTGGCATAAAAGAAAAATCGATCATTTTGACCCATGCAATGTATTGTTGGCTACTGCTACAAATATACCCCAGTGACTTAAGACTGGTTTTGTGGTCCAGGGTCAAATATTATATATTCATAAGTTTCTTTAAGGCAAGCTATTTAATTCTCTGGCTGTCCATTTTTGCTTGACGAATATAGATTTTTGTGCAAATTGTAAAAGGTTTACAACAATTATAATGTTTCGATTATAGCAATATTAGTTAAGGAGCAAAATTATATAATGATTAAGAAAACAAATTGTCTTATTTTCTGCACTTTCTTTTCAGTGTCTTTATTGTTTTCTTCTGAACATTAATTTATACAGTGTAAGATAATAGGAATAACACCAGCCTCTTTAATTAGTCTCTCTAGATATGCAGCTGAAGAGCGTGCCTCCAAGAAGTGCTGTCCTTTGCAGCCCAATCCCATTGAGATTTGAAGGCTTTCACGGAGTCTGTATGACTGTCCTCAAGTTGTTGGTTTTGACCTGATTTACTCAGAATCAACAAAGGACCGAGCCACCACAGTGCTGCGGTGAATCTCAAACAGGCACAGAGGTGACAAGCACTGTGTAAGAGACAACAGTGGGCAGGTGTGCATGTCGGATTGACAGCGGAGTTTAAATCCAACTCTCTGCACGCCTCAAGCTCATGTGTGCACGCTCATGTTCCACATGTGTGATTCTATGTAGGTAGCCGGTCACTGATAAAAAAAGAAAAAAAAAAAGCCTATTGCATTCACCTGATAGGTGTCAGTCCATTTGTGGCAGCTCTGGGTTCTTGCCATAGTGGACCCTGCCTGAGGAAATTATGGAGATTTGTGTTTTTATGGCAGTTGTGAGACAGGAAAGCAATAGAATTAGACCATCTCAGAGGAGTTAACACAGGTGCTCACCTGTCAGTATCAGAAACGAGGGAAAGTTGTGTGCACGTGTGTGTGTTTTATGTGTTTGTGTGTTCTTGTATAAAGTAAAGTCAGTGATCAGGAACAGCTAGACAGATCCTGGAGCATACCGAGTGGTCATGCCACCCTGTCTGGACCTGTTCTGGTAGTCCGTGATAAGAAAAAGTAAAAGAGCAAGTGTGTGTGTGTGTGTGTGTGTGTGTGTGTTTAAGATCACTCATCAAAGACCAGGCCTTCTCAACAGAAACTTGTGTTTGCTTTGATTTTGAATAAGAAAATAACTAATGCTGTACATCTCCTTAGATCCAAAAATGAAAATTCTGTAATATACTGAACATCATTTATTCACAAACACACACACACACACACACACATCTATATATATATATATACTATATATATATATATATATATATATATATATATAAACTTCACATTAAATTAAAGAAACTGGTTCAATCTGCTGCATGTGCTGAGTGTTTCTAATACAATGAGTGATGGCAAATTTGACATCCTTCTCTCTTCTGACAATGTAATCAATCTCTTGATATTTTTTTCCTATTTTGGAAAGTCATAGAAATGCTATTGTGGATTATTGCATTTGCTATTGGGGCAAATGGGAAGGCAAAAATTATATTTGTGGTTGTTTTCATTCATCACTATAGAACAGAGAGGGGCAAACTAAGGCACTTTCATCTGGTCCGTGAGGCAGATAGTCCAAAATGACTATTTTTTAATGCAATATCAGCAAAATCCAATAGATGCGTGGTAGCCTGCAGTGCTGTAACAGTTACGTATACTGTATATTCAGTCAAAATTAGAATGCGCTCTGTAATATCATCAGGGTTGGATTTATATAATACATAATATATAATATTATCACCCCAAAACAGCAAACAAATAATTTATCAGCGGAACTTGTTAGTGTTCTCTATCACAGAATCCCGTTGCTGATCACAAAACATCATTTTATTTTAATGCTAGTAACAGAGGCTTCAGCGTTTAATATGCAGGATAATGCAGTTATTGCGAGAGAGAGAGATAGATAGAGAGAGAGAGAGAGAGAGAGAGAGAGAGAGAGAGAGAGAGAGAGGGAATATATGTGTGAATACATATAGCACTGCGTGTT